ACAGAAAGTGGTGACTGTAATAAACAGAAATGCATTCTTTCAAAGCTCAGGAGATTAGACGTCCAAATTCAGGGCACTTGTTGTAGGAGAAGCTGTTGACTCTGGGGAAAGGCCCTTGTTCCTTTTCAGCTTGGGTTTCTTGGCTTACTTGCTATCTCAAAGTGGGGTTGTGGTTGGGGTGGGAGGTGTTGCATCCATCTTTATCTTGTGGGGCCCTGGGGGCATTGCAGGTACTCATTGTGTTGTGATCCACAAGGTCTACAGTTCGAAACTGCCCGTCACTCCACAGGAGAAAGAAGAGGCTTTCTATTCCCATAAACAGAAACTCACAGAGGCAATTCTACCCTGTTCTGCCCTGTCCCAACTTTGGGATAAGTTAGCACAGACTTGATGGCAGTGCTCTTGGTTTTTATTTCCCCCTCCATTTCTGTTAGCTTGCTTCATTGCTTGATCAATTTGATTGTTCATATCTCAAAAGAGACTGATTTAAGACACACCCTACACCCAAACTGCCTCATGAACAAACCTAAACTCAGTCTCAAAAGGGATTTGCCTTAGGCTGAGTTCTCTAGAGAAGCAACACCAGTAATACTTACGTATGTATGGTACATATACAGAGAAATTTAAATCAAGAAAATAACTCACACAGTTGTGAAAACAGGCAAGTCCAAGTCTGGGCAGGTTTCCAGTCTGTGGGTCAGATGTTAGGTTGGAGACTACTCTTGGTTTTTATAGCATCAGGGGCTGATGGGCTCACCATCGGCAGGCAGACCGCTGGCTGGTGTCTGCATCTGGGGGCAAATGAATTCCAGGCCAGCAGGTCATACTTTGGCTGAGAGGTGAATGGATCCAATGTTGTCAGGTTAGATGACAAGCCACTGGTGACTCCCTGAATCTATAGGCAATGTAGCAGGCTGTTGACTCAAGTCCAGAGAAGAAGAGGTTGATAAACCAGACGCAGATGACAGACCCAGCAAAAAGCATGCACGCATTTCCACAGAATGTACTTGACACTGGCAGGTGGCTATACCCCAGAGGAAACGTCCTTTTGACAGAGCTGTGATCTGAGCTGTGATCTGTGATCAGAGCTGTGATCTGAGCAAGGATGCTGCATTCTCTGCTAATCTTAGCCCATGATGAAGGCCTACCTCTGATGGGCTATGATTGCATTGTGTTAGGTCAGGTCAGGAGGAATTACTCAGTATTCACTGCCAAACCACTAGGAATCCTGGCCTAGCCTAGTGGACCCCAAACCTAACCATCACAGGATTATTACCACAGGTATACTGTGGTTAAGGGTCCTCAAATCAATTCTGACCAATAGGGGCCCTTGTATAATAACATCAGGATAGACGGAGAAAAGATCGAAGTTGTCAAGAATTTCATCTTGCTTAAATCCACCATCAAGGCTCATGGAAGCAGCAGTCCAAGGATCAAATGACAAACTGCATTAGGTAAATCTACTGCACAATCGCTTCGTAACGTGTTGAAAAGCAAGGAGGTTCTTTTGAGGACGGAGGTGCACCTCACCCAAGCCGCGATGTTTTCAGTCACCTCATGTGTGTGTGAAAGTTAGCCATCGAACAAGGAAGACTAAAGAAGTATTGATACATTTGCATTATGGTGCTGGAGAAGATCATTGAACATCACAACCCAAATGCTCCTTCGAAGCAAGGAGAGTTGCTTGCGATAGACTTTGTCTCCTGAATGTTGGCCAGGTGGTCAGGAAAGACAATCTCTGGAGGAGGACATCACACCTGGTAAAGCAGAGGCTGTTGAAAACAGAGAGAGACCTCCCACAAGATGGACTGACACAGTGGTGGCAACAACGAACTCACACAAAAGAACAATTGTGAGGATGGTGCAGCACAGGGCAGTTTTTTGATCTGTTGGACAGAGGGTCTCTGTGAGCTGGACAGGACTCAATGGCACCTGATGACAACAACGGAACATAGAACAAAGTGAAGTCCTGTTCAGTCCTGGACCATCCTCGCAATTGTTGTCACGCTCGGCCTGTTAGTTCAGAACTCTGGTGGCGTAGTGGGTTATGCGTTAGACTGCTAACCACAGGGCAGCTGCTAATGCCGTCGGCTGCTCAGAGAGAGGAAGACAAGGCGTTCTGATCTGTTAAGAGTTAGTCTGGAAACCCAGGGGCTGCGCTCCTCTGTCTTGTTGGGTTGCTCTGAGTCAGGACTGACTTGGTGAGAGTGAGTTTCGGGTTCTATTTTGGTGTGTGTGACAGTTTCCTTCAGGAGCTTTTTCCTCGTCCCAGACTTTCCACCTTACCCAGCATGCTGCCTTTCTGCAGGGAGGGGGCCTTCATAGGGCATCTGATGGAATCTCACAATCCCGGATTCTAAGGAGCATTCCGAGTGTACTTCTTCTACGACAAATTTGTCCATCATTCTAGCAGTTTATTGTATATATTTAACATTTTCTGTCTACATCATAATTCAAATGTATCAATTCTCCAGTTTTCTTCTTCACTGTCAAGTTTTTACATGTGTATGAGGTGATTGAAAATATCATGGTCCACCTTAGTTCTCAAAGTGATTATATTTGCTTCTAAAATTTTAAAGAGGTACCAAAGTGCTTGACACAATGGATGAATGTATGTATTGTGATAAGAGTTGTACGAGCCCCCAACAAAATGATTAAAAAATGAGGAGCTGATACCAAGGGCTCAAGTTTTTGAGCTCAAATGTTTTGAGGATGAGGGAAACAAATGTACAAAAGTGCTTGACACACAATAGATGTATGTATGGATTGTGATAAGAGTTGTACGAGCCCCCAATAAAATGATTAAAAAATGAGGAGCTGATACCAAGGGCTCAAGTAGAAAGCAAATGTTTTGAGGATGAGGGAAACAAATGTACAAAAGTGCTTGACACAATAGATGTATGTGTGGATTGTGAAAAGAGTTGTACAAGCCCCCGATAAAATGATTTAATTATTTAAAAAAAAAAACAGTGGAAGAAACTGAGAAGCTAAAATCCTTACAGAAAACCCTCAAAAATAAGCAATGAGATAACAGAATTAGATAATATATGAAAAGATCTGAGGAATAGAATGAAAGTGGAAAATAGAATCAGTGAGCTTGAAGAAATCACTCTGACTACAATTGACAAGAAACAATCAACAAAAAAAGAAAAATCAGAAGAATGCCTGAGAATATGGAACACTATCAATAAAACAACCTGCAACTTAACAGGATCCCAGAACAAAAAGAAACAAAAAAAATCTATAGAAAATAGCATGTGTGACTGGAGGGGACGGGGCAGAGTGGAGACCCAATGCCCATCTGTAGACAATTGGACATCTCCCATCACAGAGGGGTCACAGGGAAGAGATGAACCAGTCAGCGTGCAGTGTAGCACCAATGAAAACAACTTTCCTCAAGCTCTTTGGTGCTTCCTTCCCCCACTATCATGACCTCAATTCTACCTTACAAATAGGATTAGACCAGAGCATGCACAGTGCTACAGATAAGAGCCCGCAACACAGGGAATCCAGGATAGATAAACCCCTCAGGACCAACAATGAGAGTAGAGATACCAGGAGGATTAGGGGAGGGGAGGGGGACAAAGGGGGAATTGATTACAAAGATCAGCCTATGACCCCCTCCCAGGGGGACGAACAAGGGAAAAGTGGGTGAGGAGTGATGGAGGATGATGTAAGATATGAAAATAATAATCTATAACTTATTAAGGGTTTGTGAGGGAGGGCAGGTGGGGGAGGCAGAGGGAAGAAATGGGGAGCTGATATCAGGGGCTCAAGTAGGAAGACAATGCGTTGAAAACGATGATGGCAGCATATGTGCAAATGTGCTTGACACACTGGATCAATGTATGGATTGTGATGAGATGTAGGAGCCCCCAATAAAAGTATTTAATTTTTAAAAAAGTATTAAAAATAATGGAAGAAAATTTCCCGGACATCATAGAGGAGAAAATAACAAAAGCAGCTAAGAGAGGCCCAAATAGGACAGACGGCCCAAAGAGGGCACATTCCAAAAGAAAAATAAGACTTTGTAGTCAAACTATCCACTTTGACCAATTTTTAATTTGTTCTAATTTTATTATTTTATTTCAATTGAGGTTTTCTGTTTTGTTGTTGTTGGGGAATATATGTTTTTCTTTATACAAAATGCAGGATAGGTAAATCTATAGGGACAGTAACTGGATTAATAATTTCGTAGTGTTATGGCAGGAGAGGATAGAGGGAAATGGGGAACTAACAATAATGAATAATTGATAGAAGAATGAAAAAAGTTCTAAAATTGATTATGGTTATATTTATATTTGCATAATCCTTTCTAATATGTTTAAACCACTGAATTGGAAGATATATAAATTATATGCCAATAAAACTATTAAAAATGTTAAAGAAACTGTATTAGATAACCCAAAAATGAACTAAGTACTTAATGAAAAATGTTACACGTCAGTGCCCAGATTACTCAACCCGAGATAGCCTTCCAAGTCAAAGCCTGTTCAAAGGAAAACCTTTATGGGGGCCGGCTGGTGGGTGGAGGCTCCTATTGGACCTTCACTGGGCAGTGACTACTCTGGGTGACCCTGGAGCATTTACTTTGTCCCTGTAGCATTGTCTCCCACAGTAGAACAAGAGCACGTTTGCCTAACAACAGAGATTCGTTAGGTATCAACATTAAGTACTATTGGTTCAACCCAATTCTAATTATTTCTTTAAAGCATTAACTTCCCAGACACTGACAATATAGGAAAATGTGCAAGACATGTGCTCCAGGGCATCTCATGCATGTAAAGTATGCCACATTGGCCAGCCTGCCAGTTTGCAGGTTACTTTACCTGTCTGTCTACGCATGGGATGCAGACCAAGGGCCTGAAGACTTAAGGCATTTTCTCCATTACTGTCCCCATGTCTTTCTGAGCGATCAACCTCCAAATGAAAAAGAGAAGCCTCAATTTCCTTCACAGAAGAAACTTTTATTCCATTTAAGAAAAGTAGAAGATAAAGATATTTGTTCTTTGCCTGGCAAAAGTGGCGTGTCCTAAACGATGCCCCGCCTGGATGATGGTGACAGGGCGAGAGGAGCTACGCCTTGACGGCACAGCAAGGGAGACATTTGCCAGAAACGCGCCGACCAGATCTAAACTTCTACCACGGCTTCACAAGTCCGTTTCATCCTGGAGAGCACTTTGCTTTTGTAGTGACATTTTGAAGAGACTTTACGTTTGTTATTAAACCTGGGCACATCGCTGCTTTTTCACGAGTGGAAAAGAGTACTTTTCTGATACACGTCCTCATCTTACATATGAGATTGCTTACATCTATTTGGCCAAACGAGTCCAAAAAGCAAGCTCATGCCAAGGTGGACAAGTGCCATCTATCACCCCCAGAGCTTGGCACTTAGCCCCCTTCATAGGAGCCTGGGTGGTGTAGTGGGTTGCATGTTTAGCGACTAACTGCACATTTCTGATGCAGGAGGCTGGGGGAGGCGGGTATGGGCTCCGGCAGCCTTGGGCTAAGTTCCCCAGGGTAAGCACACTCGAGAACACAACAGAGACTTCTGAACAGTATCTAGGTATCACAAATAAAACATCCCTCCTAGGATACAGCCAGTGTCAGCTGATGCACATCAAAGCCCGTCATTAAGGCTAATTCCGTAAGCACAAATATAGCCTAGCTCCCTGCATGGGTGGTCTGACTGAAATGTCTAGCTGGCACTGGCATTGCTAATTTAGGAGCTCTCTCTGGAATTGCACTCGATACTAAGGAACCATTAGGGACAGCAGTTGTGTTCAAGACACTAGGAGACTTGTCAATAGCTTGTATTTTAAAATAGACCAAATAAAATACTGGCAAAACAATCCCAATCAGAAGCATGATGAAAACGGCATTCCACCACTGAATTCCACAGTCCGCACCGTTTGCCGGTGTCTTCTGAGTAGCAGGAAGGAGCAGCTGATCGGAGGGCTCGCAGTAACTTTCATGCAGAAAGATTTCGGACTGCACTGCACTCTCAAGATTCTGGTCAACTCCCTTAAAGAAATCCATCAGCTGGCTCGAGTGACCCCTGCTGCCTATAGGTGCTCCGTCTGGATCGGGCAACTCCATGAAGGTCACTTTGGTCTCTGAGGACGAGTTTGGAAGGGGTTTTAGCTCTTCGTGCATCTCTGTTAGGATACCATGGTTTCTCACGGGAATCTTAATGGATTTTAAAGCATATAAGTCTTGTTCTCGGATGAAGTTGTTGACTTTCTTGATATCTGCCACCTAGAGAAACCACGGAGAACACTGGTATCATTAATTATGTAGAGCTCCCTAAAACTCAAAACCAAAAATGTGGCTCTCAACCTTATTTGGGTGATGAGCCAACCCCAGCCCTCTTAAGAATCTAAGGAATATTAGAAAAGTACACTATACCCACAATTCGTTTAATGAATAACTTTGTTGTTTGGCTTTAATTCAGTCTTAATTTATAAATTAATAATCAAAATTTCTACAGATTTACAGGCTTAAACAATTTAATATGAGTTTTTGGAAAACAGGTTTGTTTGTTTTTAATCTGCTTTAAAGTGTTACTGCAATAAAATGGTTCTAGATGAAACAATCAAGGTATAGAGCCTTCTTCCTTTTTAACCTTCACAGACTTCTTTGAGGAAACAGTGTCCCTGCCTGGCTGACTTCCTTATCAGTCCTGATCAGCAGCTACCGTAGTCATTATCATTAGCCAAACACTTCTCAGGTCTCAGCTATCTCCAGACACTCAGACCCTCTTTACGTATATGGACATGATGAGAGGGGTGCCCTTACAGTGTGATCCCCTTTCTCTCCCAGAAGTGCTGTGTGGCGTATTTTAAGGAAGAGTGGCAAACACTTAATTCATTTGGGGAATTCCAACCACCAGAGCAGAGCCCTTCATCATATGCTTTAGCGGCAATTAGAAACATAATCGCAAATTAGATAGGAAACAATATATTGAGAATCACTATTCTAGTATTACAACTTGAGAAATTTTACCAAATAACAAAGTTCATTATGAACTCTTCTCATAATCAAGCATGCTGACATGAAAATTTAAGAAATGGGGGGAAATGTAAATCAAAAAGGCAAACCTTCCCTTAAGGTAATATTTGAAAATGTACCAAAATCATCAGAGATGGATTCTAATGTTTAATCCTTAAGACCACTTAAGCTAGAGTAGAAATACAGTTAACACACCTTTAAATAGAGCCTTACTTAAATCAATCATCTCTATTTTAATTGTTTAGAAATTGCTTTTATCATTTAATTGAATTGGGGTGTGTGACATTTTTAATTTATATCCTCAAAAATAATAATCACATGAGGTGCCCAGCAGTAAATTATTTACTTAAAATTGGAAAATTGATCACTTACAGGAGGAATTACATGCTCTTCACTGGTTAGACATCACTATTCAAAGAAACCTACTGCATCTATTCAGGTGTTTCTAGCGTAAGATGCACTTCTCAACCCATGCGCTGTACACCATTCATTATGTCTGAAGAAGGTGATTTTTAGCGTCAGATATAAGCGTCAATATAATATAAAACCCTCTATGTATCACTGGAGATGAAGTTGATTGTTTCAACATCCCACAATGTGTGTTTAGCTATTTGGATCACATAAAATAAATGACTAACATTTTAAGGAAGAAAATACTTTTAAATACATCAATGATATAGCCTTAGAGAAGGCTATAAAATGCTGAAGCAAAGTGTTAGCAAAATAAAATACAGGCAGTCCCCAGGAGACGAGATCCATTCCTAAATATGCCTTTAGGAATGCTGAAAGGAGTGCAGATGGGTCTTATCTTAGTGCAAACTAGTGCAAAGAGAGGCTCAGAGCCATCTTAAGCTTCAAAATCTACATGTGCAGCAAATGAAGGTGACTGTGATAAAGAATTTGTTGTGAGTAGTGGTTGGTTCAAAAGTTTCAAAGTAGGGCAACTTTATGTAACATTCAAGGGCAAGTACAAGCCATCTACCAATAACCAGGGGACTGCCTATATACAAATCTTGAAGAAAATGCAAGAATTCTGTAAATACTTTCCTACTTACTTTGCCATTGTTAATCACTCTGAATGCTAAAAACATAATTAAAAAGAAAAACAGGTCACATAGATACAGAGCATACAAAGACTATATCATACAGTTAGAAAAGAGAGAGAGGCCTGTACCAGTCAAATAAGCTATCACCAGCAAGAACCATTTTTTAAAAATTAAAGGAAGGAAACCTTCCTTTGATCCAAAGAAATCTAGGATATATCTACCTGGCATCTCCAACCTCACTAGGTCTTAACTGTGCTCAAAAGAAAGGTAAAGGGACAACTTTCATTATTTCCACTTGGAGGGGCAGGGAGAATAGAAGATCTCTGTATCATGAGATCCCAGACTAACCCTCATTCTTTAATTACCACCAGGTTTTAGAACTAACAACATGTCCACTTGCCTCTGGCTAAACAGGGCAAGCATCTTGTGGTAAAGTTTCCTAACTTGGTTCTTCTATCCATATCTCTGTAAGTCTTACCAAATGATTGCGCGAAACACTCACAGTGTTTGGTCAGTTTTTGTTGCCATTCCCAGCTATAAGAGAACCACATCACAAGCAAGCACAGCGAGAATTCCCCGTGGGACACATTAGAAACCCCTGCCAGAAGTGGTGGAGGCAGTAAAGGCAATGCCACGTGGAGACCAGAGGCCAAGGCAAGGAGAGCATGAGGCAGATCAGAGGAGCGGTGCAAAAGACTGTGAAACTTATCAGCAGGCAGGCTTACTGTCCCATGGAGCCAGAAGCCAAAGGACTGAGGCTGAGGACCAGAGAGAGCTGGCTGCAGACTGAGAGGCCCTAGTGTGGACAACAAAGGTCTCCTAAATGTTTTCTGATCCTGCCTTTTGGTAACCTGTTAACTTCCCTAATAAACCCACATAATTGTGAGTATTGTCTGTCAGTTCTGTGTGGCCATTGTAATGGATTATCAAACCCAACAGAAAAGTCGTGTTATGGGAAGATTGGTTGGTGTCAGAATAGGATAAAGGAGACTGGAAGGTGGAGGTAAGTCTGACCTCTGCCTCAAAGTTACAGACCTTGGGCAAGAGAGGAGTTACCTGTTTCCCCGAAAGTAAGACATCCCCCCGAAAATAAGAGCTACTTACAGTTTTGCCTCTTGCTAAAATACAAGGCATCCCCTAGAAAATAAGACCTCCCCCAAAATAAGGCCCCCCGAAGCTACTGTAACTCTGGACTCTGGATGTAGCAGCTCACTGTTGGCCGCAGCGCAGCCGGAGCAGACAGGAAGTGCGAGGTCTCTTAATAAAACGATAAATGTATACCGTATTCTTCTTCATGAAAAAATAAGATATCCCCTGAAAAAAAGACCTAGCACATCTTTGGGAGCAAAAATTAATATAAGACACTGTCTTATTTTCCGGGAAACAGGGTAGATTCTCCTTCTCCCTTGTGTAGTCAGAGGTCAGAGATGGCGTCCTCACCGGTTTGTTTGTTTGCATCTTTACTGCTAAACTGTCCTTGGGTAGCACAGACAGTTTGCACTCAACTTCTAAAGACCGGCAGTTTGAAAGCACTGAGTGGTGCTATAAAAGTAAGGCCTGGCAATCTACTTCATTGAAGATTATTTATTCCTCATTTGCTGAGTAGATTCTGACTCATATCAATCCTATAGGGTACGGCTACCCCACAGGATTTCATGGCTGTAATCTTTACCACCGCCACCCCCTAAATTTTATTTTGTGGTTGAGACTATACCAACCAAACAAATGCCAATCCAATAGCTTATACAATTTAGTGACATTGACTGCATTCTCCCAGTTGTTCACCAGTCTCACTGTCTTTCAGTCATTTCTCCTCCACTAAGGCACATTCCCGTCTCCTTAAGGTTCCTTTCTAATCTCTCATGTGGCTGTTGTCAAATTGGTTCCATACAGTTTTTAAAACAGCATGTTTAAAGTAGACCTTTTTGAATAGTTAAGCATAACTATTATTTAGCTTTAAGAAAACTTCAATGGATTTTAGTTTACAGTTTAGAGATTATCTCAGGGCAATAGTTTTAGAGATTCATGTAACCTTCATGGCTCCAGGAAATCTGAAGTCCATGACAATTTGAATTTCTGTTCTGCATTTCCCCACTCTTGGTATCTTCTATGGAATCCTTGATCAAAATGTTCAATAATGATAGCCAGGTACCTTCCAATTCTTCTGGTCTTGTGGCAAAGGAAGCAATGAGCAGCACATGTTTCATATGCTCCATCTACTCCTAACTCTCCTTCATCTGTTCTCCAGGAACAAGTTCTGATACTTTGGATGGGTTCTTGAATCAGGACTGAAGACATGAAGCCAACTGACTAGGATGTTCCATGAAATCATGACCCTCAACTTACAAATCAAGGAGCCAAATCCCATGAGGTTTTTGGTCCTATGTACTCCACCTCAGCAACTACTTTTTGACGTTGATGTAAATATATGTCACACAACTTTTGCCAATTCAACTTTTCTCAGACACAGACCTTATTGACAACAATTAAAGTAATCCACTGTGCAACATATCCTTAAGCAACCTTTTGTTTCCATCACCAGTAACCTCACTTTTTCCCCCTCCCTTCTACTCCAGGTAACCACAAATAGACTTTGTTCTCTATATATTTGCCTTTTCATATAAGTGAGGCCATACCTATTTGTCCTTTTGTGGTTGGTTTATTTTGCTTAGTACAGAGTCTCCGAACTCAATCCAAAATGCAGAATCTATCAAAACATTCTATCTTCTATTGCTGAGTTACAGTCTGTTGTATGTATGTACCCCACATTGCTTATTCATTCCTTTGTGGGTAGGCATTTACATTGTTTTCACCTTTGGCTATTGTGACTAGTGCTGCAGTGAACACTGAAGTACAAGTCTTTTTTGAGTCCACTTTCAGGCTCTGCGTATCTGCCTAGGAGTGGAATTGCTGTCATATGGGGTTTCTATTTTTCAGTTCGTTTAAGGAACTGCCACACTGTTTTCCCCTCTGCTTTCCTCCAAGCCATAGGTAAGAGTTCCAAATTCCCCCTATCCTCACCAATATTTGTCCATCTTGGCCATCCTTAACCCAGTGCCATCAAGTCAATACTGACTCATAGCAGTTCCAGAGGACAGGGTAGAACTGCCCCTGTGGCTTTATATAGGACTGCAACTTTATACAGGAGTAGAAAACCTCCTCCTTATCCCATGCAGCAGCTTGTGGTTTTGAACTGCTGACCTTGTGGTTAGCAGCTCAAAGTTTAACCCACTATGCCACCAGGGCTCCTTAGCCATTGCCATTCTCATCCTGTCTCTCTCTCTTCCTCCACCCCACCCCCCACCCGCAGCTCTCTCTCTCTCTCACACACACACACAGCCATTGCATCAATTCAGACTCATGGTGACCCTACAAACATCAGAATCGCCCCCATGGATTTCTAAGACTGTAGCTCTTTATGAGAGTAGAAAGCCTCATCTTTCTACCATGGAGCAGCTAGTGGTTTTGTAGGCACTCTGCCACCAGGGCTCTGGTGAAAGTGAAAGTGAAATGCTATCTTATTGTGGTTTTTATTTGCAACTCTGATGACTAATGATGCTGAACATCTTTTCATGTGTTTACTGGTCTTTGGTGAAACAAGTCTGTAATCTTTATGGAAGTTGATTGCCACATTTTCCTCCCACACAATGGCTCGTGGGTTCGAAATGCCTACCTATTGATTAGCAACCAAGTGCTTGCAACCACGTAGCCAACAGAGTTTTTCTGTGGAGATTACAGCCCACAAAGCCCTATGGAAGCAGTTCTGGAACACACAGGGATCTGAAGACAGCATGGACACTAACCCATCAGTGAGTTCTTCTGCTCCCTTGCTCTGGCACCTGGGGTGGGGGGAGAAGGAAGAATGAGTCTCCTTACTTTGCAGCCATATTGCAGCGCTAGCTTGTTGAGACTGTCCTCCTGGGCCAGCTCGCGCTGTAGCAGCACCACTTCAGGGGCTCCAGGCTGGTGATTGCAGTCCTTGTGACGCTCCTTGCCCCGGGGTCGCAGAACCACATGGTGTGCCTCTTCCTCAGAGGAGTCCCCCGAGTCCCCGTTGCCATCCGTAAACTTGTAAAGGTGACTGTTCGGAGTCCTACACACAACAACCGGGCCTTGGAAAGACTTGTGGACTTCCTTCTGCCTCATTTTCTTCAACTGAAAACCAAACCTGAGGTTAATTCCACACAAGGCAAATTCATTCCTCTTATGGCTGTATTAAATATAAGGGCCTTTTGCTGTTAAAGATGATTTCCCTCCCTAATCACTGTCCTACTCAAAAAGGATCATCTAAAGAAAGGGGGATTCTGGTTGGCATGGAAGGAGTAGGTGGTTTTCCTACTACTTTTTCACTAAGTGCATAGTTTCTGCCCCTTCCTCCCTTAGTCCTCACCCACAGTTGTGGATGGAGTCACACCCAGTTCTGTAAAGAAGCCAGTCCTATTTGTGGTCGGAGTTGTAAAGAGGGGGAGTCTGGTACCGCATCCCTCATTTCCAGGCCACTGCGAATCTTAAACGCCAAACATTTCTCCAAAAATGCATGTTCAATACCTGCCACACTCAAAATCTCTTCCATAAAGGCCAACAATGACACTTGATTGCAAAGAACACAGAGGCAAGATTACTTTTATTTCGAAATAGCTTGAATTATATAATATGTGGGGCAGGTCAGGGGATAAGCCTTGCCAAACAGATTTTGCCTGCTTTCTAAACGGTTACTTTGTATGCATGACAACTTCGTGGCTCAGCTCGTTGCATTTTCTGGGTTCTAAAACTCACCGTCATTTCATGGCGACTCCACAGGCAGGGCGGAATATAGGAATAGACAGCCTCATCTCCCTCTCTAGGAGCAGCTAGTGGTTTTGAATCACTGAACGTGGAGTTAGCAGCCCCACATATAACCCAAGTGCAAAACCCCCAATACCTCGCCATCTCCTCTCCCCCCTGTTCATCTGAGATTCCGGTCTGAACTCTCAAGCCCTGGGGCTGAAAGCCTCCCAAATTGAGGGGCCACTGGAGAACGTCCCATCGAGGTAAATCTGGGACCCCGCGTCCGCCCCCAGCCTTCCAGGAGGCTGGGAGCTCGGGCTCCGCTCCCGACCCCGCTCCCACTTCCCGTCCGAGCTCCCGGGCCAGCAAGGGACCCCGGCTGCCCTCCCGCCTCGGTTTCCGTGCGCCCCTCCCTCCGGTGAAACGCGGGGGGTACCCGTGGGAGCTGACAACAGAATCCGGGTACCGGCCGCCCAAAGGCTCCCACAGTCAGGGTCTCGACGCTCCATAAAGGTCAGGCCCCTGACCTCTAACCCAAGGCTGCCGGCCGGTCCCCGACCATCCGGCGCAGGCTGGCGCTGGGGAACCGGCAGCCCGGCCCGGGCCCACCCACGAAGCCAGCAGTAGGCCGCAGCCCCTTCAGCAAAGGCCCGCGTACCTCAGCCCCCAGGTTCCGGCGCCGCCACGGCCTCGGCCCAGCCTGCGGATTGGCCTCAATAGACAGCAGCGCCGCTGAGAGGCGGGGCCTGAGAGGCAGCCAATGAGATCATTGGTGGGTGGGCACTGAAAGGGACCCCACTGCGCTGAGAGGTCGGTACCAGAGCTGCAGGACCGGAGGCGGGGCGGGGCCGCGGGAGGGGCGGGGCCACTGGCGGGGCGGGGCCCGGGCGGGGAACCAGGCTGGCGCTGGGGCGGGGCTCCGGGGCGTCGGGCTGACTCCCGAGGCTGACCTTCGTCCTCCAGGGCCGGTTGCGAGCAGGCTCCCGAATGTGCTGCTGCGGGGAAACTCACCTCGGCTGCACCTCAGCGTCCCCACCACTAGCAGAGGCCTTGGCCCCGCCCTGTGTGTCACTACCCCGCGGCTCCTGGACGGCCACGGCTCTTCGAAGAGGTAGGGCTGTGCGCGTCGCAGAGAAGGTGGCCCTCAGCTCTTAGATGGGGAGCCCCCTTGGCATGGTGGGTTTCATGTTGGGCTGCTAATCTACCAGACTGGAGAAAGCTGAAGTGGTTTGCTCCCAGAAACCCAAAGGGGCAGCTCTACGCTGTCCGACAGGGTCGCTATGTGTCAATCGATTTGAAGGCAGTGAGTTCGGCTCCTAGGTGGGCCACGGGCCTCAGGCGTGGAGTCTGCGGAACCGGGACCACAGGGTGTCCTGGCGTTTGCTGACTCCCGTCAGCCCACGAGAGTGAAAACTGAAATGGCTACAACAGTAGACCATAGATGCACCCCCACCCCCACAAGTAACATTTATCATATACCAGATGGTGGGGGGTTTATTAAGCTTCGAATTAACCAATGAATTCTTATGGGCCAAGGCAAGGAACAAATGTGTAAAACTTTTCAATGAGTTTTGAGCCTTACTGCAGCCTTTTGATTTTGAGTGTGAACTCTGCAATGAAGTAGATGCATTGGGCTGCAATCCTTAAGGTCCCTAGTTTGAAACCACCAGATGCTCCTTGGGAGAAAGATGATACTTTCTATTCCGGTAAACAATTACAGTCTTAGAAACTTACAGGGGCAATTCTTCCTGGTCCTATAGGGTCACTACGAGCCAGTATTGATTCAGTAGCAGTGAGTTCTAACCCACCCACAGGGAGGGTATTACCCTGCTTCCCCGAAAGTAAGACATCCCCTGAAAATAAGACCTACTTACAGTTTTGCCTCTCGCTGAAATATAAGGCATCCCCCGAAAATAAGACCTCCCCGAAAATAAGGCCCCCCGAAGCTACCGTAGCTCTGGACTCTGGACCGTAGTGACAGGTGCTGCTGCGCAGCTCACTGTTGGCCGCTGCACGGCGGAGCAGACAGGAAGTGTGAGGTCTCTTTTAATAAAACAATAAATGTGTACTGTATTCTTCTTCATGGAAAAATAAGATATCCCCTGAAAATAAGACCTAGCGCATCTTTGGGAGCAAAAATTAATACAAGACATTGACTTATTTTTGGGGAAACAGGGTATTTATATCTCCATAGGGAAAGAGGGACCAGACTTCAACCTGGTGCTCTAAGATGTGAATTCAACATGCTGACATTGAGTAGGGAACCAGTGGAGAGGTCTGAGGGGCCGACCCCAATCCCAACTATGTAGACACCTGCCCCTCCCCCCCAGAAGAATTTATTTTAGAGGACAGCTCTGAAGCTGCAGCTCAGGGAGAGGGACATGTCTGATCCGAGCACACGGGAGCAGATGAAGGGTGAGGAAGAGAGAGTGGAGCACATCCTGACCCACCAAGCTTTGAGGATGATATCACCACTCAGAGCAGCCAGTCCACAGAGAAGACCATATGGCAGGCCCCACTATGAGACACGACATCCCTCACTGACATGACATGCCCTACAGGGATAACACTGGAGACACAATGTGGGAATTGCACCCGATCTGATCCCACCACACCAAGGCAGAACACTAAGGGCGTACAACAGAAAAGCAAGGAATACAGAGCAACAAAGTCCCCAGGGAATACAAAAAATAGACTTTGGGGCCAGGGCTTGGCACCCCATCAGACTCTACTGGAAAACACTCCTAAAGAACAACAAACAGTCCTTGAAATAACTACAAGCCTTTCTTTTTTATTTTGTTTTGTTTTTGTCATTGGCTTTTTGTTGTTTTGTTTTCTTTTGTTGCTTTGTTTTGCTCT